GCAGAAGTTCACAGCAGTAGAAAACAGCAAAAGCACCAAGAACAAAAGGGAAGAGCAGCACTCACACCCATAATGCCAGCACCACACCATGAGTCAATCACAAACTCTAGAGGCCTACCCCATGGCTGCATGAGGCTTTGTGGGGACATCTAGACACAAACTATAACTCAACAAAAAGCCCCAGTTTCAATCTTTTAAGTTAAAGTTACCATTGGCTTGTGCCACTAACTGAAAATCGCTCTTCCCTCGCACTTGTTCGGAGCTGGGGGTGCAGCTCAGTGGCAAGTGTTTGCCCAGCACTCACAGGTCCTAGCTCCACGCCCAGCACTGAAAAACCCCAGCTGAAAAACTCCCAAACCAGAAAGAACCCTTGTTTGTTCCTGAAGGGATTCCCACCTTCCAAGACACTTCACTTCTGTGGGTGACCAGGCAGCAGCCCCTCCTTTAGTGCCCTAGCAGAGAACTGTCCCTAGTAGCTGGGGACCTCAGGACCCCATCTCCTCCCTTCCCTGGCACACACTACTCATGCTGTCTAGCATTGTATGACGAATCCAGAAAGCCACACAGATTATCCAGTCCTCCCTGGGGTTGGTTGGGACGTAGTACCAGGCCATCTCTCTACACATGGGACCCCACCACCTTGACACACCATGACCAACAGAACCAGGGCGTCGCCTCTCAGGTACAAATTTAATTTGAATCAAGAGCTGTTTCCTTCACACTCACACGCATCTCCAGTGAAAGGTCCTGAGAGAGATAGAACACAAGGGCCACCCAAGGGACGATGGTCCAGTCACCAAGGGGCAGCACAGGGATCTCCAAAAGTATAGATCACACCTAACATCAGAAATGCTTCTCAGTCAACAGCACTGCAGAACAGAAAGGAAACCTAGAGGGAATCTTAGAATCCCATTCAAACCTACATCTTTCCCTCAAGTTTCTGTTCTGTGCCCTGCACTCAGTTCCCAAGGTCGTGAGGTAGGGGCTTTTGGGCCTGGGCCTGACCATCTCTCCCTACCTCCCAGACATGTTTGTGGATAAGACTGCCAACAAGGTGTTTAGAAGGGGACACTTGGACTGAGGGGCCTGCACAGCTGCTGTAAGGATGAGGAGGCCAGTGACTGTGACTCCACCCTGCTCTGGGGCTATGGCAAGGTCCCTGCCAGCCTGCTCCCCTGAGTGGGAGCAGGAAGGACCCACCCCAACCTCACAGCCCCAGGAGACGGGGCTGCAAGCCAATACACATCTGCTGCATCTGCTGCCTTGCCCGTCCTCAGACATCAGAAGTCTGTGGGAAACTCTGACTCCACAAAGTTGCCCCTCTCAGCATCACTTCCAGAATTACCTCCAGGCAATGAGGGCTGCCAAAAGAACTTAGGCCTGGGAAGTGATGGAGTACTATGCAGCTATGAATGGCAGCGGGGAACTGGCTGACAGGTTCCACCATGTACTGCCAAATGAAAACACCAAGCCCAGGAGGGAAGAGCAGGCTGGTTTGTGCATAAGAAAGGGGCGGGGGAGGGGGGGTGCAAAGCATTCAGGCGTGGGCCTTAGTCACCAAACAGAGACACTTAGAGGACACCACTTTGGGAGGAATGGAATCACCAAGCACCACACATGCTTTAATGGCTTGATATTTGGAACTTTCTTGATGCCCTCCATGTTCAAAAAGTAAAATTTAATCAACAAAGGCAGCGAAAAATCTAAACTCAATGCAAGCAGACATAAATAGCAAGATCCTGGTAAGGGAAGTAGGAGTCACCAGGAACTCGTACTGTTTTTTTGTGGCCACCTCGAACCACTGTCCTTGCACTTGCCTAAGCAGGCACTTTAGGCAACACATCCCCATACTCTTTAACACAACCAAACCAGGGAAAAATGTGAACTGCAAACAGCGGAGTGCAGGAATTTGGAAATGTATGCACTCAAGGAGGACAGGGCAGGCGCATGGCACTGGGCACAGAGTCACCAGGGGCCACAGACGTAAACAGGGATGGGTACACAGCAAGCTCACGGGGCCTGCCAGAACCACAGGGCCACTAGATCTCCTTGTTTCCGGGGGCCGTCTGTGGAAAGCCAGCAACCAGCCCTTGTGATGCTACCACATCTTGGGGCTGTGCAGTCTGCCTCTGCCACAACCCACAGGTGGCCAGGGACTCTGAAACGTGGCTGGTGCAACAGAGGACAGGGGTTTCTAATTCTGTTTCATTTGATTTTTTATTTTGCAGAGTCAGGGCTGGAACCCACAGCCAGGTGAGGGTGAAGCAAGCACACCACAGAGCTGCACCCTGGCCTGTGCTGGTGCTGTGTGTGAAAGTAAATCCACAGGAAGCTCCTGCCATATAAAAGACAACCCATGTCCAGGAGCGGCAATGGCACAGCATCAGGGAGGTACCACGTGACACTATGCTGCTGGCACCACCCCGGGCTAAGGAATCAGGCCTTCCTGGGCACATAGCAACTCTTTGGACAGGTAGTGGGTTAAGGGATGGGCCTGGGACATCTGGGTTGCCACCCAGCAAAAACATGATCAATAGCAACAAACAAACAGCAGGGTAGTGGCTCAGGGATAAAGGTACTGCTGAAGGGCACAGCCCCTGGACAGAGCAGGGGTCCCGAGGACACATGAAGGGTCACAGAGGACCTGTCAACTCCCAAGTACACACTGATCTTAACATACTGTCCTAAGACACCTGTATCTCTGTGTCACCACATCAAGTCTGAATGACCCAGGACATAAGGAGCAGGTGTGAGGGCCCAGGGACCCAGCCACATTCACCTGCAAGAGCTGGAAAATCACTTCCTCTCCAGCCCATGCCAAGTAGCCCGGGCCCCAACCCCACAGGAGGGTGACAGAGACCAGCACTGAAGCCTGCCACTTTGAGCCCCCCTCTGCCAGTTGCTGAAACCATGGCTCAACAATATCCCTGTCCAGAACTTTGATTTTTTTCATGAGAAATAAACTCATTTTCACTGCACATCTGGACCCTCATTTCTCTCCTTCCCAGGAGAAAGGCACTGGGGCTAATGTTGTTCTGCTCACTGAGCCCAAATGTATTACAGAGAACTTCTTAGACCTCAGAAACAAAAAAAAAGGAGAGGGGCTGCCAAAACTCAAGTAAGGAACATCTCATCACACTGAACGACATTACTTAGGTACAACCTCCCATGCGAGCAACCAGGGGACACTGAGTCCTTCACCAGGCTCCCAGGAAACAAGCAAGGGGCACCAATCACTTCCTTACCTCACAGTTCAAAAACTCTCTTACAGTGAGTCAGGTGGGGTGGTACACAGCTGCTAGCCCAGCAGCTGGGAGGCTGAGGCAGGAAAATCACAAATTCAAGCCCAACCAGGGTAACCAGTGGCTTGGCAACACCCTAGCTCAAAAAATAAAAAAAGGTTGGGGCTGGAGTTTGGTGTAAAGACCCTGTATTCAACTCTTGATATCACACACACACACACACCCAAAAAAAAACCCCAAAACTGATGACACACATTGTCGTGTGTGTGTCTTCGTCTTCTACCACAATAAAAAACAGGAAACCCCCCTTGTGGCTGGGGGCCGGCAGAACATGGATGCTGCTGAGTGTACATCCCCACACTCCACAGATGATGAGAAGGGGCTGCACACAAAACTTAATCCTGTCAATACCATTTATAGTGCTTCCAGCGTCCTGGGATTCCGGGTCTCATTCAGGACCGCCAAGGGCTCCCGGATCCTGCCCTGGGGACCTGCTGTCCTCACAGCAAGGAGTGCCCAGCTGCAGAGCAGGAACCATGGCACTGCAGCTCCCCTTCCCCGTTCCTTCAAAAATAAACAAACAAAAAGCTCTAGGCTCAGGAGACAGGGATGGGAGGGAATAAGAAATTCCCAGTAATAAAAGAACAGAGTCCAGCCTTGGGAGGAGGCTGGCCGGATCTCAGCCCGGCCTCCAGGCCTGCCTGCGAGAGATCATTGTTCTGCAGGCCGCCAGATTCCTGATGGAGCAGATTCCAGGGCTGCAGGCTGCAGGCTCAGCCTGTGACTAACACTGCAGTGATTTATCTGAGGATAAATACCTCTGTCAGTGTCTCATGACTGCACACCACGAGCCAGGCAGATCGGAACGTGAGGAATGTGAGGGCGCAGTCACTGCCAGCTGTGGAGCCTCCGCCACCAGGCAGGGCCGGGGCTGCACCTTCCTGCCTGGCTGGCAAGCATCCTCAGGAAGGGAAAGCACGGAACAGGATGGGATGGGACAGGACAGGATGCTGACAAGGTGGGTCCGGGGCCAGTAGGCATCCTCGCATCTGTGCCCCTCCTAGCAGGACATGCAGGCCCACTGCTGCCATAACGCCCCTAGGGAAAGCCATGCATGTTGGGGGCGAGGTGTGTGTTGAAAAGCATGGCCGAGCAGCCACTCCACTCAAACACACAGACCTGGGGTTCACACTGAGGAAACTGTGGCCCACAGAGTTAAAGGGACCTGAGTCAAGATACAGCTCACCTTGGTGGTGATTGAGGACCCATAGCCCAGTATCCCGGGACCAAGATGGGCCTGCAGCTATGGCATGGGCTTCAGTCAGCTCGGGCGTACCACCAAACCATGGCATAGCCTGCTGCCCCATCTCTGGGGAAGTCCTACATCCGCCTCACATGGTGTGCACAACCCACACCTCTAAGTTACAAGGCCACTGGGGTCTACACGGGCAGACCTCACATGGGGCCCCTGAGGACACCAAGGGTATCCCATTCAGGGACACATGGGGCCCATAAGGACAGTCAGCGTCAGTGTACACATGGAGGACAATGACCCCCAGGAACATGTGGATGATGTCCCAACACGGGCTGGGAAAAGGAAGACTTCCTGTCTCCACAGGCTGTAAAGTCAGGTGAGCCTCTTCCAGGCCTCAGGTCACAGCCTGACATCAGTACCTCACGAGATGACAAGATGACAACTTATCACAGGCAGAAGCTACAGGGACATCAGTCCCAGCCTGGAGCAAAGCAGGGACTTACAGGTGGGGGCTGAAGATGCGGCCCATCTTGGCAACGTGGTCAGCTTCACAGTCAAGGTCCTCGTCCCCTGGTTCCAGGCTGAACTTTCTCTTGCTGGGGCTTATAGGGGGCGGTCCTGTGCGATGGCTGCTGAGGGCAGAGGCCACCGGGAGGGTCTGCATCCTGGGTTCTCCCCGGAGAGCAGCTTCACCTACACAAAGAGAGACAAAGCTGCAGTCAGCAGGCGGGAGAAGCAGCCCCATCTCAGTCCCTGGGCTCCCTGCCCGCCCACCCACTGCTCAGGCCTCTGCAGAGCTACTCCCAGTGGAAAGTTTTCAGCAGAGAGGTGGATACCCAGCAAGCCGAGAACACAGTCTGGGGCATGTCCCTGCCAGATGACACTGACAACATGGTCTTCAAGCCCAGTTCCTCTTCTGGGCAGAGTTTAAGATGTAAAGTGGCAATAAAACAGCAGAGGGGAAAAAACAAGTATTTGCCAACAGTGTGAGAAGTTAATTGAAAACGTGAAAGACCTTCGTCCAGGTTGGTTGGAGCACTCCGCCCCATACCTGGCCTCCCTACCTTTACTGTGTGCTGTTTCTGTAACATTATTTTCTTTCTAAAGAATTAGGAAAATGTATGGGCTAACAGTTCACATTTCTTCCTGGAGTTAAAAGGAACTGAAATACATTGTTTCATGAGGAATAAACATCTCATTCTTACTAAAAATAGTATGTGACAAAGATCAGCACAACACTTTGGACAAGCAATTTGCCACAGGGTGCACTTCTCAAAACAAGTTTCAAAGGTAGAGCCTTAAATTAGGGTTCATTTAGCTGGGTTTTTAAGATGGTCTTAAAATGACCCAGGCTGGCCTGGAACTCTGTCCTCCTGCCTCAGCCTCCCAAGTGCCGGGGTACCACCAGCCTCAGCTGAGGTTCCAGTTTTGATCCACACTGACTTCTTAGTATTTTTCATTAAAAGACTTTAGGGCCGGGGAGATGGCTCAGTAGAATAAGCGCTTCCCTGACAAGCACAAGGCCTGAGTTCAATCCCTGGTTCCACCAAAAAGAAAAAAAAAAAGACTTTATACAAGTTGATCACTACATGCCTCAGTAGGAATGAAAACCAACATGAACTTTAACAAAGTTTTGGATCATGTAAAATTGACAAACAAGAGTCATAATTACCTCAAGAAAAAATCCACACTTCCTCAGTCCTATAAGGCAGCACCTCCTTTCCTACAGATTAGACCCCTTTGCTCTGGTGATTTGCATCATCCTGAGCCCAGCCATGCTCAGTGCTCTGGCCACAGCCTGGAGTCATCTCAGGAGGAAGTCAGTCCTGCCGTGGCTGTGTGGCCAAGAAAGGAAACCTCTGTTTGCCTCCCCTGACTCTGATGCCGTCACAGGCTGTGGGCAGTTGTAACAGTCTTTTACTTCATGCACATATGACAAACAGGATTCTGTTAGGCCAAGGCGGGCGCAAGGCCTTCTGAGTATTTACCAGGAAAAACACAAACTCTGCCAGTTTAGTCAGCAAGATACAAACTTGCAAATATACATGGACCCACAACACACCTCCAGGCCTGGTTTCTTTAAAGGATTCTGGCCCCAAAGCAAACTGGAACTTTCCATTTTAAACAAAATACCTAAAACATAAGCCCAATGCCGGCCTCTACTTTTGAATTTAGTAGGTTTTGACTTTAAAAAACAAAGCAGAAGGGCCAGCAAGATAGCTCAGCAGACTAAAGCGCCTGTTTAGGCAAGCTTAGGGAAGCACAGGGATCACAGTTTAAGGACCACAGTGTGATGCCCAATACCACATGTTGTGCTGGTCCCGCCCCCAGGGCAGGCTTACCAGGCCACAGAGCTGGAGCACAGTGGTGTACTCCTATAATCCCAGTGCTGGGGAAGCTGAAAACAGGAGGATCACTATGAATCCAACCTGCATAGTGAGACCCTGTAACAACCAAATATATTTTTTTAAAAAAGCTAATCTCTTTACCTTGATAAGTTAGAAATTATTCATAAATTTATTATTTTATAATAACTTGTAATAATTTTAGAATACATTGGGTATGGTGGCACACACACTCAGAAGACTGAGGCAGGAGGATCAGAAGTTTGCACCCAACTCAGCCTTATGAAACTTAGCAATTTAGTAAGATTCTGTGTCAATATTAAACAGAATTAGGCTGGGAATGTGGCCTGGTGTGAAAGACCTGGGTTCAATCCCCAGTACTGGGGGATAAAAGAACGAGTCACTGCCACAAAGAAGAAAGTCCATACGTTTGTGTGGGTTTTTTTGGTGGAACCGGGGATTGAACTCAGGCCCTTGCACTTGCCAGGGAAGTGCTTATTCCACTGAGCCATCTCCCCGGCCCAGAAAGTCCATACGAATGCTCAGGAAAATACAGATTCAGCTGGGCCACACCCTCTGGTCTGGGAGTCAAGACACATCTGCCAGCTTGGTTTTGCCTCTACTGGGAGAACAACAGGGACAGAGGACACAGTGTAAGCAGAAGGGCCAGCAAGATAGCTCAGCAGACTATCCAGACTATACCTCCAGAGAGCAGGGTACATGGACTACATTGCCTCTAGCCCTTGGGACATGAGATCCAGCCCCTAGTGTCATCATCTCACAGTGAGAGTCAGGGACCTATGAGCCACTCAGCACCTGTCAAGAAACCTTTCCTGTGTCAACTCCAACATGCACAGTGAGACCTAGGACATGAACCTCAAATGGTGCATGTGAAGTCAAAGGAGTCTGGAAGCCAAGTTCCTAACCACGGCCACCTTGTCCTCCAAAGCACATCAGTCCCAGAGCGGAAACCCAGCAGACAGGATCTCCAAGACTGTCCTCCCTACAGTGTGTCCCTACCCCCATCCTGTCTCCACCCTTCAGCTGGCCCTGTTCTGTGCCTTTTCTGGAAGCCTAAATCTCACCGCTAAAACTTAAGCTTGGGCAGTAGTGGCGAAGGGATGGTATGCACATTACGGCGGGTTGTTATCACTGAAAGCGCAAAGCTTCGCCATCTGGTGCCTCCCTTCTAGCAAGGGGCACAGGGTTGCTGCTGCCACACTGTCCTTGGTCACAATGCAGCAATGGCATCAGTGGGTAATGAGGCAGGGTGAGTGGATAACTGCTCTTTAAGTTTCATTAAAAGTCAAAGTTGGCACAGAATAAGGAATTTTAAAAGCTCTATTTAAGAAAGTATTTATACAAAAAATCCTTGCAACTCGAAAAGAAAAAGCCCAATGAAAAAGTTGGAGGGGAACTGAGTAGACATTTCTTCAAAGATATGCACAAGGCCAGCAAGTCTCACAAAGACTCCTACATTGTCAGCCACTGGGAGGACCCCGCGCCAAGCCTCCACAGTCCACCTGTCAGGATGGCTAGAACCCAAGCTGGCAAGGACATGGAGGACCAGAAAGTGGTACATGCAGGAGAAAGAGCCCGCAATTCTGCTCTCAGTGCGCACATCAGAGTGGCAGACACAGAAATGTGTCCCCAAGTGAGGGGACATCATTACTCAGCCCAACAGTGCATCAGGGTAGTAACCACACTATGGCATGGGTGGACCAGGAAACCAGGACAGCAAGTCCACAAAACCAGGTGTAACAGCCACAAACTACGACAAGTCCAGAGCAGGCAAAGCCAGGGCAACAGATAGCAGGTCACATGCTGGGGGCTGGACAGGAAACAGGAAGTAACAGCCAGTGGGTGCTGTTTTCTTCTGGGGTCTATGAAAATGTTCTGTAACTGATTCTGATCAAAGCCACACAGCTCTACACCACAGGCTTACAGTATGGGCTTCAAGTGAGTGAATTACAGACTGCCTGTGTCAGCCCTGTAAGGATGTCCACCTGCCTCCCTACTAAGAACGTATTTACAAGGAGATGACCAAAGACCGCAATATTAATATATCCTTGTCTCTCTCAGGTTTTTCACATGTAACTGTCAAGTAAGAACAAGTATCCTTGAGTTTACCCTGCAATAAACACAAACCCTTTGTGATTGCCATTACAGCTCTCTGTCAATGTAGATGATTTTTCCATCTTTAGATACCAAGTTAAAAGATACTACATCAGAGAGCCGCTGAGGGTGCCTAGGGATACAGATTCACCGATTCCTGAACGCTCAGTGCCCATCGCAGGCTGAGGCCAGGAAGGAGCTCTCAGAAAAGCATAGCAAGCAACTCATTCAGCCAGGAGATGAGAGAAGGCTAGAGGGGCCCTACCAAACAGCTCACAGGCCGGGATCTCTGGTGACACTGTGTATTCCTATCACCACAATGGCTCAGCAATTCATAAAAGGAGAAAGGATTACCTTTTTTCTTCAAATATAAACAGAAGTGAGATTTGACCTTGAGTCATCCAGTATTTTATCGTATTTTTTTAAGTTTCTCAAGTTGGCTTAACTACAATTAGTTGTGTTTAATTTTAACCGTAATTAAAACTAAAGAAGTTCCATTTTAAAATGTATTTGGTCTTTAAAAAATATGTAAGGGCCGGCCAGATAGCTCAGCGAATTAAAGTGCCTGCTTAGGCAGGCTCAGGGGCTGGGATTCTATCCCACTGTGCTGTGCTGGACCCGCGCCCCCAGGGAGCACTAAGACGCACACGACGCACATGCCTGTAATGTCAGTACTTGGGAGGCCGAAAACAAGAGGATAAAACAAAACAAACAAACAAAAAACCAGGAGGATCACTACTAGTCCAATCCATGTAGTGAGACCCTGTAAACGCTGTACTAATTGCATTTATATATTTGCACTACCACAGACTAAACCAAACCCAAGGCCTTTGAGCTATACTCTCAGCCCTCTTTTTAAATTTAATATTCATCCATCCATCCATCCAACCATTTCTTGAAACAGTCCCTCGCTAAGTCATTAAGTTGCTTAGGCTGGGCTTAAACTTGTCCGTCTGCCTCAGCCCATCGCGAGTTCTGGGATCACAGCCTGGGCACTACCAGGGTGGTAGCGCCATGCCCAGCTTGGCCTATTAATAGTATTATCTAGGCATGTTTTACTGGATGAAAGATGCCTTGTATACACCAAAATTATTTAGCTGCTGCTTTCAGTCATGATAGTTTCCAATATACAGATCAACAGTCTTCTTTAAATATCCCCCACTCCGGATGAAAATAAGGAATTTGCCTGAGGGTATGCAAAAATCATCATTTATTTGTTCCATTGAAAAAGTT